TTATTGTCTTTTATGATAATATCAGATCTGTTGGCTTTTATTTCCCTGTCAGTTTGAATTGACATGTCCCAGAGGATAGTTACATCGTTATTTTGGGTAACTGTTTCTGGTTGGTGCTCATACCATCTCTCAGTGGTTTCGATTTTGTGCTTCTTGCATATCTTCCAGTGCACATATGTCGCTACCTTGTTGTCTGTGGGTATGTTCATTTTTTGCTAGTTCCAGACATCCTGAGATAATATAGTCGACAGTTTCTTCATATATTTTCCGCAGATCCTGCATTTCGGGTTAATTCAATCCTTGATTATATGACAGTCATAGGATCTGGTTGAGAGGTTTTGGTCCTGAGCTGTAATAATTAGGCCTTCTGCCTCAGCTTTCAACCCGATGCTCCTCAGCCACTGATGTGTTTTCTTTTGGCCCACATCTGCTTCTTTCATTGTTTTTAGGCATTTGTCATACAACGCTTTGTTCTCCCAGTTTTTTTTTTGTTTTTTTTTTAAAATTTTATTTGGCCAAATTCTTTTGCTTTCTCTTTTACTCGTTTGGCATAGATGGAGTATTTGCTTCGTTTTTTGTTAGTAGAATTTCAGGTATATTCAGCTGTTTCTTGAAGAGTTCAGCTTCTTTGTTGATGGAGTGGATTTGATGTTTTACCATTTGTAGGAGAGGGCCCTTATTATTATTATTATTATTATTATTATTATTATTATTATTATTATTATTATTATTTCCTTGGATTTCTGTTGTATACTCATTTCTTTCCGGGTCCCAACCAGAGACCTAAAATCAAAAATGGCATCGTGACATTTTCAATGAACATTTTTGCAAATAAAATAAAATAAAAATAAAAATAAATAAATAGAACAACCTAAGATTACACATATTTTACATAGATGAAGCCCTTCGTAAGATGTGAGCTGTATCTGTGGCTTTACAGATAAAGCCCTTCGTAAGATGTGAGCTGTATCTGTGACTTTACATAGATAAAGCCCTTCGTAAGATGTGAGCTGTATCTGTGACTTTACATAGATAAAGCCCTTCGTAAGATGTGAGCTGTATCTGTGACTTTACATAGATAAAGCCCTTCGTAAGATGTGAGCTGTATCTGTGACTTTACATAGATAAAGCCCTTCGTAAGATGTGAGCTGTATCTGTGACTTTACATAGATAAAGCCCTTCGTAAGATGTGAGCTGTATCTGTGACTTTACATAGATAAAGCCCTTCGTAAGATGTGAGCCGTATCTGTGACTTTACATAGATAAAGCCCTTCGTAAGATGTGAGCTGTATCTGTGACTTTACATAGATAAAGCCCTTCGTAAGATGTGAGCTGTATCTGTGACTTTACATAGATAAAGCCCTTCGTAAGATGTGAGCCGTATCTGTGACTTTACATAGATAAAGCCCTTCGTAAGATGTGAGCCGTATCTGTGACTTTACATAGATAAAGCCCTTCGTAAGATGTGAGCCGTATCTGTGACTTTACATAGATAAAGCCCTTCGTAAGATGTGAGCCGTATCTGTGACTTTACATAGATAAAGCCCTTCGTAAGATGTGAGCCGTATCTGTGACTTTACATAGATAAAAGCCCTTCGTAAGATGTGAGCCGTATCTGTGACTTTACATAGATAAAGCCCTTCGTAAGATGTGAGCCGTATCTGTGACTTTACATAGATAAAGCCCTTCGTAAGATGTGAGCCGTATCTGTGACTTTACATAGATAAAGCCCTTCGTAAGATGTGAGCCGTATCTGTGACTTTACATAGATAAAGCCCTTCGTAAGATGTGAGCTGTATCTGTGACTTTACATAGATAAAGCCCTTCGTAAGATGTGAGCTGTATCTGTGACTTTACATAGATAAAGCCCTTCGTAAGATGTGAGCTGTATCTGTGACTTTACTTCTTTAAGGCTTGAGTTTCCAGGAAACCCTTTAATATCTCTTCCAGATCCTTTTCCAGTCAAATCCAGGACTCCAACTACAACTGGAATTATTGATGTCTTCATGTGCCATATTTTTTAGATTTCCACTTCAAGATTCTTTGTATTTTGATAGTTTTTTTGAAGATCGTCAAAAACAGATTACAATCTACAGGGACTGCTATGTCAATAAGAAAGCACATTCTGTTTTTGTGGTCTTTGGTCACAATGTCTGGGCGATTAGCTTTGATTGTTCTGTTGCGTGTATTGTAAAGTCCCATTAAATTGTCCTATCTCTGTAACCGGCTTTGGATGATGTTCAAATCACTTTCCTTCCCATAAAAGTTTCAGATTTGTCAGTGCAGATATTGGCTCACTCTGTCATGTTGAGTTTTATATTCGGTGGCTATCTAGCTAGCTAGATAGACATATAGAGAGATCTATTCTGTTATCAGATAGATAGATAGATAGATAGATAGATAGATAGATAGATAGATCTATTATTTGTATCAGTTAGATAGAAAGATAGATACACAGATAGGCAGCTATATATAGAGAGAAATATTTATTATGTTATCA